TCTAGTCCCCAGCACAAGTTCCAGAACATTTCCTTGGCTTCAGGAAGAGCCCACAGGTCACAGCCCTGCCACTCAGCCCGGAGGCAGCCAGTGTGGCCTGGGAGTACTCACACTGCCTAGCGTCCTCTGCAGGCAGTGCTTTCCTTCCCAGGGTCCCTGACGCACGGTTCTCCGGCCACAGACGCCGAGGTGACACCTGATTTGATCAGCAGTTCTCAAGTTAACCTGTTACAATAAACAGATTAAAAATCCAACTTAAAACCGTACCTGGGGGCCAGTGCTGTGGGGTGCTCACACTGCCGCCTGTTGCCGGCGTCCCAGTGGGCATCAGTTTGAATCTCAACTGCTCCACTTCCGGTCTAGCCCCCTGCTAATGCATGTGGGGAAAACTGCAGAAGATGGTCTGAGCGCTTGGGCACCTGCACCCACGTGGGAGGCACCTGCACCCACGTGGGAGGCACCTGCACCCACGTGGGAGGCACCTGCACCCACGTGGGAGGCCTGACGAAGCTCTGGCTCCCGGATTGGACCTGGCCCAGTTCCAGTACTGTGGCCATTATGGGGAAGTAACAATTATTTTTTCTCTCTCTCCCCCTCTGTAACTCTTTCAAACCAAATAAATAAATAAACCACTTAAAATATAGTCTTAAATAAAGAACAGCAACATATGGCCCCAAAACAAAGCAAATTTATGTTTTAGAGTTTCTAGAGATGTAAGAATAGCACATTTTTAACTGATTTCTGAAACTTCTGAAAGATTACAACAAACTGCATTTTGCAAAGCACCCAGGAAACAATGTGTGACCTTCTGCTTTAAACCAGGTGGCAAGGGGATCAGAGACCGGCCCTTCGGGTTCCTCCTGACTAGGCTGAGAATTCAACAAGCTGGCAGATGCAGGCAGGTGGTGCAGCATGAGCTGCTGCCTTGGATGCCAGCTCCCCATACCAGAGTGCTATGTGGGTGAGACTCATGCACCAGCCCACATGGGAAGCCTGAGCTGGGCTGGTTAGCATGGAACACAGCTGGCCACCACACGCCAGTCCATGTGAAAGCTAGGGCTGGGGGCCTGTCCAGCAGGACTGGATCAGAGCACCTGACTGAATGTCGGAACAGGGAATGGGTCACATTAGGCAGGGCCATGGCACTGAACAGCACACAAAAGAACCAGGTCCAGCAGATTCTGTGGGGAATATGTGGGCTCAACCCTGTGGAGGTACAAGCCCTGCTGGGCCGCAGCGCCCAACCAGCACACATGAGACCCAGCAGGGACGGGGCAGAGCCAGCAGGTGGGCTGTGGAGGATTTCCCTGCTGGACCACCACTGCCACTGGAGAGCTCGAGAGCTGGGATGGGGACAGACCAGGCTGGGCAGGTCTACAACACCTGTTGGCCTCATGTGAGGTAGATCAGGAGAAAGCCAGGCTGTTCTACTGATGCGAGCATAACCCAAAGTGGGTGTGGGCTGGTTGGGCTTTGCCGCAGCGTCAGCTGGCAGAGGCTGGCATGGGGGATGGCAGATTTTGTCAAGTTAAACTGCAGAACCACCTGGAGAGTATGAGATCTGGAGATGGGAGTGGGCCCCTCCCTCTTGGTTTACCACTCCGACTGCTAAGCACGAGAACCAGGCCTGGAGTAGGCAGAGAGTGGCACCTGCTGGGAATCCTACAGGATCCCCGCAGCTGCCAAGGTGAGGGTTTAGCCACTAGGCCATCGCACCAGGCCCTCAATAAACATTTTGATATGATTTTTAAGTATAAAAGTGAAGACTCAATAGCAGTGTGGAAAGTGAGATTTCTGAAAATTCAAGGACAAATGTGTCTTTACCACTGAATTTCAACTTCACTGAACTGACCTTGCTGTCGGTACTCAGGGTGTGTTCCTTGCCAGTGGCTGGTTTTATAGGAGGTCCCAAGGCCGCCTCTCCCTTACGGTGCCCAGGCCACAGTCCCACCCGCTCCCGGCACGGGGAAGTGAAGCCTTGTACCAGGCGCGCCAGGCCAGCCACTGTCGTCCCATGCGAGATCTCATTCCACAGCTGCCCTTCTCAGTTCCAAGGTCCGTCCGGACGAACACGCCGCCTTCCTGCAGCCCTCCGCTTGCTCCTTGGGCTTCTCACCTGCACAACAGCTACAGTCACCTGCACAAACACCGCGCCTGCCGGTGCCACAGCTCCAGCTCTGCGTGACCGTGTCGGGCAGGACACACAGCTGCACCTATGTGCATGTGCATACGTATGAATAAAATGAAGGGAACCAGGGACAGCGTGTTGATAGTTTATTGTAAGTCTGACTGCATAGTTCTATTAATGAGATGACAAGCACTGCAGAGAAAAAACACCAAAGTAAGGTGAGTTGAGAGGCAGAGTCTGGTGTGAACTCCGAGTTTACCCCAGTGGTCACGGAGGCTTCCATTTATCTACTGCACGTATGACCACGCCAAAAGCTGTGAGCACTCACCGTATCTCGTGATGCTGTAGGCAACAAGCTGTCAGCTGAGGTCCCTGGTGGCCAGGCTGCAGGGGTGCAAGGGGGTTCCAGAGGCCTTCACTCAGCAGCGACGGCCGTGGGCAGACAGAACGCAGGTCCCAGGGGACACTCCCTGGGTGCTGACCCAGGGGCCGCCTTCCACATGGACTGCTGGTCAGGGAGCATGTCCCCGTGACTCCCAAGTTCCCTGGCCCCGAGAGCACGCAGACACACTACGTAAGGAAACTGCATTTATTGAGTACGTGTTTGTTTAGTAACAGCAACAGTTTCTCCAAAAATGATTTTTTTTCCCAAAAAATGAGCTGAATTCCACCCAAACACAAAGAAATGCTTTTGTACTCTTCTTAGATCAGACTCAAATCCCAAAGTTTGTACTCCCCCTGGGAAACGCTGACACACAAGCAGGACCAGGGGAGGGTGTTCACATTATGCTGAAACCACAGGGCAGGAGGCAGTCACGGGGCAGGCTCTCCCTGTCACGGCAGGCTCTCCCCTGTCAGGGCAGGCTCTCCCCTGTCACGGCAGGCTCTCCCCCGTCACGGCAGGCTCTCCCCCGTCACGGCAGGCTCTCCCCGTCACGGCAGGCTCTTCCCCGTCACGGCAGGCTCACTACCTGCCCAGGCCGTCGGAACCCCAGCCACTTATAATCACAGTGCAGGGAAGGGCTGGGCGAGACAGGTGCAGACACAGGTGCATCTGCCCGATGGTACTGGCCCAGCTTCCAAACACGGGTGACAACACAGGTGACTGTGTGCCCTCCTGCGTCTGCAATGCCACGCCCCAGGCCCTGGGTTCTTATGCATGATAGAAAAAAAACCTTTTCCAAGTATTCCCTGCAGAAGTTCTATAGAAAGGCTGCAAAGAGCCCATTCTCACTGCTGTCAGAATTCGCTCATGGAACGCCCAGCACGTTCAGGAGGACTCGGCGGTGGCAGCTGCGGCCATGGCCGAGCATTCACGAGGGCTCCCGGCTGGTTCCCAGGACTGTGAGCCCGCTCACCATGGCCCTTCTCAATGTTACGGGGGACACGGACACACCTTTCCACCTCTTTTCTTCCTGTGTCTTTGCAAAGGCTCTCTTGTTTGAAACGGTTCACAGAAAAGGCAATCACTCAACAGACGTCAGGAACTGTTGGGAGGAGGTAGTGAGAACGCAATTTCCACCAAAGTCTGTCGCCAGTTTCCAACCAACGCCACACTGCCCTGTGTGAGATGCTACTCTATGTTCTCACAAACTGCTAAAAAACTTAACACCGTAAGTCACTTTTTTAAACATTCTATGCTCTTACATTTCTGCTGTAGGGCACATTAACTTAAGTTTTTAAAAATCTGGCTTCACTTTCAACGAATTAAGAAACACATTTCAAAAAGTTGAGCCAGATTTTTACAGTTGCTTTGGCGATATGTAAAAGAAGGATGGTTACATACAAATCAATTCATCTACTTTTATTAAATATTAAAATGCAGTAATAAGGCAATTATCAAGACACCTGAAGAAATTGCATTTCATAAATGTGTAATGGGCCCCGCTTCTGACATTACACTCGTACTTATTCTAAAGAATCCAAGATTAAGGAAAAATTGATCAGGGAGGGAGCTGGCCAAAGATGCCCGCATGTGTTGTTGGAGTGCCCGGCTCTAACTCCCAGCTCCACCTCCTCACTCCAGGTTCCTGCTGGCGCAGACCCAGGCAGAAAGCAGCGATGGCAGGGCCAGTTCCTCAGTCCTCACCAAGCACTCGGGCCCAGGGCTGTGTGTCCTGGCTCTTGGTCCCACCCAACCCTGGATGTTACAGATACATGGAGAGTCAACCAGCCTCTCAAAAACGTGCTTAAATCCTAAGAACATCTCAAACAGCCTTCACTGGTCCTAGGGAACCTATTACTTAGAATACAAGCACCTTTGGGGGACAATGGCCGGCACCTTTGATGTGTACTGTCACCTCCAGTCCTCTACAATCTGCTCCTGGTGCCACCACAAGGTTCCCTAAGGAGGAACGATGCGATTCACTACTCCAGCTCCACTCAAGGCCAGGGACCTCTGCAACGGACTGCCTAACCACACTGCCCAGGAAGACTGCGTCCCCCCAGAAACTGGCCTGGCCATGGGGCAAGGCCAAGCAGGATACGTGTGTAGTCACAGGCCAGCAGTGAACGCCGTCCCTGGCACTCAGGACAGACCACTCCTCTCCTCCCTTACATCTGCTTCCTCTCCCCTGTCCCTACTCCCTCTTCCATTTCACCACTCTCTCACCCAATGCCTTCCCTACTCTCCCCTCTTCCCACTTGCTCCACTTCCTTCTTCCTCATTCCTCAGGCGCACCATTCTTTCTCCGCTCTGACTTTCTGTTCCTCCGAGAGCCTTCCTTCGTATGTCACACAGGCAGACCCTGTGTCAGAGGACGTTCAGCCTGAGCTTGGGCAGGCCAAAGGCACAGAGGCCAGCTCTCTCTCCAGCAACGATTCCTCCTTCCCCCAGGGACGGCACACAGCCAGGGCCTGCAGGCTGTCACGGCAGGTGCACATCCCTCAGGGCCTGCAGGCTGTCACGGCAGGTGCTCATCCCCCAGGGACGCAGGCTGCAGCGGGGCACACAGCCAGGGCCTGCAGGTTGTCACACCACGTCCAGGTGTGCAGAGAACAGGATTCAGTCATTTTATGCATCTGTACTACTGTTTGTACGGGTGGGGAATGCATTTCTTCAAGTGTAACTAAAGTATCTACTTTCTAAAGGTTTTCCAAGTAGTTAGAGGGCGTCACTTTGCTCCAAATGACTCCCGTGGCTCTGGTAACCTGTGGGCCGGACATGCCTGCAAGCTTAACCTTGTCTTAACGCACAGACACCAAGCACTTGGCCCAAGGGTCACGCCAACTACAGACGGCACAGGGCCTCAGGGAAGACCACGCCCGTTCTCCAAGTGGCCCAGCTCCCACTTAACCTGACTCGGAGGACAGTGTTTCTAGAAAATTCTCAAGGGGAAAGTGACCATGTCCAGGTAAATCTCCAAGATTCAATCCAGCCTTGTTCCAGGTGAACTGTGACACCCACGGTGGTATCAGGTTAGGACAGTGTCTTGGTAGAGTCGTCACCCCAACCTGCTGATGGTAAAAGTTCTCAGTTTGGGGCTAAGGTAACTCAGGCCCAGGGACTAAGCTCTGACCACAACCTATAGCTTCCTTAGGCATCACACCACACACATTGCTCACCCAGAAAACAACTCCTATGGGCTCCACTAACAAGTTCATATCCTGCTTTAGGACCCAAGTATTTCCTCTAACATTCCAAACCCAACCATGCCACGAGTTGCCACACACGAGCTCCGACTTCCACATGGCCCGCAAGCAGTAAATGCCAGGTTCCCCAAGGCTGGCTGACTTCCTGTGGAACCACGCCGACTCCAACCAGACCACCCAAGGCCAGGAAGTCAGGACCCTGGCGAGTGGGCTACGAGACCACAGCTCAGCCAGCAGCAGCACAACGTGCAGGATTCACTTTGTCAAATCTCAGCAAAGCCAAAGGGGAGAAACAGGAAACACACTGAGGTGCTGGCATGGCCCAGTTGGCAGCACTTTACCATGTCGTCAATTTTTTGCAGGGTTCTACCCCAGACCCAGTACCCCAGGGCTCTCACGCGGCATCCATCACAGGGGCCATCGGAAGCGATCTCAGACACACCTTCCAACCCACACGTTCCACTTTCACACTCCTGTGCACCCCATACGCGGCTTCGCGCACTCACTGTTCTGCCGAGCAGGATGGGGCAGGGCCACCCAGCGTCCACCTGCGGTAGGTGCTGGGCTGCCTGTGCCCTGCTCTGCGGGGGGAACAGCCTTGGCATGACCTGCTCTCCCAACTCTCGGCTAGACAGATGGGGGGCTGTGTCTGTAAGACCTGCCTGAGTTCCTTCTCCCACCTGAGCTAAACCAGGTGGTACCTGGAGACACAAGACGGCACAGGTCCACCGGAGCACAGGATGCTCTCAGTCAAAGTTCTAGAACATACAGCTGTCTTACATGATGTTAAAAAATAAACGCTAAGAGAGGCAGAGCACCCAGCACTGCCATTCTTACAGTCAGACCTAGCAGAGCAGCTCCCGTGCCTTCTGCCGGACTACGCACCCGCACACACGCCTTCAAACCCACTCTGAGGTAGAAGAAAAGTTCCACTGGCCGGCGCCTTCCCACGTCACCGTCAGTTTCTCCTGCGCCGACGCATGTTGGCCCGGTGCGGTCTGCAGCACCAGCCTAACCAAGGGGTCCCCCCTTATTGCCAGCATGCTGTAGTTTGCTTCCAGATGTCCAGTAAAGCTGAAGTATTCATTTAAACTGATAAACATTTCCCTCCAGTATCTGCCTAACAATCTTAGAGTTTTGGCAAGAGTTTAACACACACACACAGACGCAAACACCATGTCTCTTACACACACACACACACACCCCAAAGTGCTCACTGTCCTTCCTGTAACGCATGGCCAGCTCATCGCCCAATGGCCACGTTCACCGTGATTGTCAACAACAGCACCAGGGAGCAGAGATGAAATGGACAAAGGCACGTGGAGATTGTCACGGGGACACTACGGACGTCACATTCCCTTAAAGCAGAGCCTCCCGGCTCCTGTAAACAATGGCCCTGAGGCGGCTGAGGCCTTCAGGGGGACCCCTGGGACCACCAGGCAGCAGTAGGCCTGCAGGGCTCCGAGGCAGGGAGCGCCAAATGGGCGCCACCAAGTGACCTCACAACGCATTTAAAACAGGAGACAGCTTCCTGCTGCCGGCGCCCCAGATCCCAGCTGACCCTCCAGGGCCTGGGACGTCATCTGTCACAGTTCACGTCTGTTCTTCTGAGTCCACGCAGGGGGCCGGCCCCCGCCACGGCAGTCATCTCAGAGCGGGGCCCAGCAGCAGTCATGTGGCCCGTGGCAGCCTGGTGGAGCGGTCACGGACGCTGCGGGCCAGCTGCTTGATGAAGAGGCCATAGCTCCGGCCGCAGTAGGTGTGCAGCGTCTTGCGCAGCGCCAGCTCCAGGGGCTGCAGCAGGGCGCGCACACTGGCGTCCTCAAAGGAACACTGGAGAGAGAACACAACAGGCGAGACGCAAGTCACCACGTTTACCCAAATCCCTGCCACGCGCCCAGGTCCACGGCAGCCCCACGGGCAGGCCGGATGCAGAAGACGGACATCCCACCAAAGGGGGCTGCAGGGAGGGACAGCAAGAGCAGAACCCCACGCACGCCTGGGGGAAAGGACTCAGGACCAGCCCCAGACTGCCGGGGACTGCGCCCCTGGCCAGGCCCCAGAGAACAGGCCGCTCAGTGCTGTCTGGCCCATCAGCGACGAAGTGGCATCCTTTGCACACTACAAGATACATCAAGAAGCCGAGGAGTTATCTAACTGCTCTCCCGCCCCACCCTGGGTAGAAACAGAAAGGCTTTTAACCACAGTCTGCCTGGGGAGTCTGCTTTCCTACACACAACTCAAAGACCTTAACCTGCATGGGGGGGGTGGTGAGGACTTCCCACAGGCCATCATGCACCCAAAACTGTGCCTGACCCAACCCCCCTAACCAGCCCTGCCCCCAACACTGGGTTGCCCCTCCCTCACTGCCCACGAGCACAGTCCAGCGAAGTCACAGCTGACCCTTCAGCCACACGGCTGGGAGGGAGAGCTACACGGCAAGCCTCTGGTGGCCACAGATGTATGGCACTGGGCATTCAAAAGGAAAATAAGGGGTGTGAGTAATATAATGCACCCCAACATACGCTGAGTTGGCCAGATCCCCCAGACCTTAGGATGGGACCCACTTCAATCAGAGGCAAGACATACAAATTAACAGAGACACCCAAAAGCAGATCCACAGGTAGTCACCCACTTCCTGAGTGAAGGTCAAGTGTCTGAACTTCACATGCATGGGCGTGGCCCGCACAGGGCTTGGCTGCACGAGGGCCCTGCTGGCCCAGCTGTCCACAGCTCAGATCCCCTCGGCTGGACGCGAGCCTGGGGGACAGCTCACTTCTCAGTGAGTCAGGGAAAAGGGGCAGTACCTGAGAGACCGATTAACTTCATTAGGGAAAATGGACAGAAAGTACAAATCATGTGTTAATTCAGTATCTGAAGTTGTTTTGAAAATAAAATAACATTTCAAAGAGGATGTCAAAGATAGTTAATCAACTTAAAATGATTACTGGCTTTTTTAAGCGATAAATTTAATTAGCCAATGAGAAAAGCATATAAAATGAGTGAGGTTTGATTCTCTAATAATGTCTGCTTTATACGCTCAGAGGAAACAAAGGAATCGCATTTTTGTAGGAATGCATTTCTTTCTTACCCTCACAAGTCTTGGGACCTCAAAAGTGCTTTTCCTCATTTTTATCACCCTCTGACAACACACCATAAAGTATTACTAAAATACAGTATTAATTTCTGAAGGCTACAGCGCCTGCTGCATTAGAATAAACATCAACACTAAATTCTGGAATTCCTCTCTGAGTGCAGCCGTACAATATACCAAGGACTGAGGAACCGCCTAAGCTTTCTACCCAAGAAACCTGGCAAACAGAACCAACACGAAAGCCCCCGGGCGCCTGTGACAGGACAGAGGGCGCTGGGCATGGCCGGAATCCCCCTGTCACGGGGTGACCATCACACACTGCACTTCTGCCGCTGCCCGCCTCCAGCGCCACGCCAGCCCCCCACACCCCAGTGTCACCTCTGCAGGGATCCCAGCCCCATCTTCGCGTCCCTGTGAACCCTGCCTCCCTGGCGAGGCAGGGCTGCCACGGCACTCACAGTCCAAGCCACTCCTTCCCAGCTGCCCACCAGTACCAGCACATGGGGGCTGGCAGACAGGGCTGCCGTCCACAGAACACATGTGGCCCCAGTCCTTCTCCCCAAGCAGAGGCAGCAACTCTAACCTCGCTTGGAAGTGCCCCCAGCAGCCCACCTGGACTGCAGGGCAGCGGACTCAGGACTCAGAATAGGCGTCTGGGCAAGGGGTGATGTCATTTCCTGCCGAGCTCACATGCTGGATAAAGGAAACCCCACTTGCCGAGGGAGCAAGGACAGTGGGGCAGAAACCCTGCAGCTCCTTCCGCACAAGGAGACAGCAAGCAGCAGAGGACAGCTTCCAGGCGCTGCAACGGGCCTGAGGTAAGTGCCACCTGGGGTAAGAGCCGGGCCACCTGTGCCAGTACGCACGTCTCTGTGGTTACCAACATCACACCTAGCCTCCCCAACCATTGCAAAAAAAAAAAAAAAGTACCAGTAAGTAAGAACAAGAAAATCTCTAAAACTGGCACAAGCAGACCAGACTGGATTTCAGCTGACTGAAACAGCTAGTGAGGGGGTGGGAGAGGGTGTCAGTATCTGTGAACCAGGCACCTGGGGGCAGGAGGGGGCTGCAGGCCAGGCCTGAATCCCACCGCCCAGTGACCACGGCAGATCAGGGTTTAGGCCAAGGCTCAACCTCAGGCTAGACGCGCTGGACAACCCTAATGAGAAGCAGCATCTACAGCCTTTCCCACCAACAAACCACACTTGGACAGGCCCTGGTCAGCCTCCCCAGCGAAGGAGACACCAGCTACGCCAAGACCAAGAGCACTGGCACCAGAGAGGGAGCGCAGCTGTGTTCCCCAAATATGCCAGGGAAAATATAAATGTGGAGCAGGGCAGAGCGAACACTGGGACCGTGGAGTCAGGAACCCACGGGCTTCTGTACCCGGATCCAAGCTGCGGCTCACAGGACCTGGTTCTCACCCTGGAGAAGATGCACCAAGGCTTGGGGCCTGTGACAGAGCATGAGGGAGCTGGCTCCTGGCCAGAGGCCCTGCAGAGACCACTCACAGAGAGCCGCCAGCGCACAGCTCACACACCAAGCGGAGGGAGGGGCGGGGAGCGCACGGAGCCAGCCCCGGGCCGTGCCAGCCAGGAGAAAGCCTCGCTTACGTTTCTCAGGGCTTCGTACACGGCTCTGAATGCGGGCTGCTTGTCGTCGTGGTAGACGCCCCGGTTCCCGTGAAGGACGGAGACGCCCTCCTCCTCAGCCCCCCGGCAGTTGCTTCCATAAATGCAGTGATCCGGGCGGTAATTCCATTGGCACGGGAAAACAAACAGGCTTTCTACGTGAGGAAAGACCAGACAATGACACGAGGGTGCTGACTCCAAAGGATTAACACTTTGCACAAACCCTACTTCAAATACATCAATATTTAGGGCTGGTGTTATGCATGGCAGCTCAAATGGGTGCTGGTTTGCATCCCAGCTGCTCCACTTCTTTTTTCTTTTTCTTTTCTCTTCTTTTGGAGAGGCAGATATACAGACAGAAGGAGATGCAAAGAGAAAGATTTTTCATCTGCTAGTTCACTCCCCAAGTGGCCACATCGGCTAGAACTAAGCCGATCGGAAGCCAGAAGCTTCCTCCCATTCACCCACATGGGTGCAGCATCCCAAGGCTTTGGCCGTCCTCAACTGCTTTCCCAGGCCACCAGCAGGGAGCTGGATGGGAAGTGGAGCAGCCAGGACACGAACCAGAGTCCATATGGGATCCCGGTGCATGCAAGGCAAGGATTTTAACCTCTAGGCTACTGTGCCGGGCCCAAGTTCCTCCAATTCTCAGTCAGCTCTCTGCTAATGACCTGGGAAAGCTGCACAGGATGACCCGAGCACTTTGACCCTGATCACTCACGTGGGAGACAGACCTAGAGCAGGTTCCTGGCTCCGCCCTGGCTGTTGTGGCCACTTAGGGTATGAAGCAGTAAATGGAAAGTAGCTCTCTCTTTTTCCCTCTCTCCGTGGCTCTAACTTTTGAATCTTTGAAAAAGGATACACAGATCTTGCCCCAGTCTCTGAGGCCATCTGGAGGCTGAATCAGAGGACTGAAGATTTCTGTGTGCTTTCTTTTTAAATCTACCTTTCAAATAAGTAAGTGTATAATTTTTTAAAAATAAACAAAGTGGCTGCATTAGCTTCAGCAGCACCTGTGGCAGCACTGTGAGAGCACCCACTCAAGTCTCACACGTAACACTTGTGGTCCAGCTCCCTGCAGAGGCACCCGGAAGGCAGTGGAGGCTGGCTCCAGTGCTTGGGCCTCTGCCACCGACGTGGGAGACGCAGAGGGGGCGCCCGGCTCCTAACCACAGCCTGGACCAGCCCCAGCTGCTGCAGCCCTCGCGGGGAGCAAGCCAGCAGATGGCAGCTATCACTCCATCTCTTTTCTCTCTCCCAGTTCTGCCTCCCCTCTCTAACTCTCTCCCCCTCTAACTCTGTTTTTCAAACAAATAAGTCTTTAAAACTATAAAATAATAATAATTTTAAAAAGCACCGCTTTTGCAGGGACTTCAAATGGTGAATAATGTATTTGGTTCTTTCCGCTAAATTAGTAGGTCAGAAAATTTATTCTGCTCTAAACATAAATAGTGGCAACTGTTAACACTCCTATCAACAAGCACAAAATTAAGACACGTCTCCCTTTTTGACTAATTCTGAGTTTTTCAACAAGTACAAGCAACAAATTAACTTAAACAATTATTACCTGGATTGTGAAAAAACATGATGTTGAGCAGGTCCTGGTCGCCCCACGTGATGTTGAGCTTGTACTTCTTGAGCAGCGGCACAAGAACATCTCCCCAGCGAAGCCGGGCCGTCGTCATGTCGTTCTGTCAACAACACAGGAGACTCGCAGGCTCCCAGGTTCAAATCCCCGGCCTCCCTTAGCAACCAGCACAAGCCCCCTTCCCTCCCCTCACCGGGAAACAGCAGCAATCCCCACTGTGAGGGTGACATGTGCCGTGAGCAACAAGGTAACTAGACGTGGAGACCATGACGGGAAGGGAAGGCAGTCATGTGCAAAAGCGGCCTCACTAGAAAACAGACAGTCCAGCGCAATAGCCTAGTGACCAAATCCCTGTCTTGGCAACTGCCGGGATCCCATATGGGTGCTGGTTCTAATCCCGGCAGCTCCACTTCCCATCCAGCTCCCTGCTTGTGGCCTGGGAAATCAGTCGAGGACAGTCCAAAGCCTTGGGACCCTGCACCAAGCCTGGAGGAAGCTCCTGGCTCCTAATCAGCTCAGCATCGGCCGCTGTGGCCACTTGGGGCGTGAGTCAATGGATGCAAGACCTTCCTCTCTGTCTCTCCTTTTTGTAAATCTGACTTTGTAATATAATAAATAAATAAATCTTATTTTTAAAAGAAAGATAAATAAAAGCAAACAGGACTATTTCACCATGACCACTACCATTCTCACACATACTTGCTCAACTTTGATAAGAAAGTGCTCAAAATAATGAGTAAAACAATAATATGCAACCAACGTCAGACACTGGGAAGTATCTGCAATAGAAAGTGACTTGCAAAGGTAGAAAATATTGAAAAAAAAAAAAAAGCAGGAATGTGTCAGTGCTGCACTGTGTAGATGCTGTGTTCTGTCACCCACTCACTGCCGGGCTATCTCAGTGCCGTGGCCCTATTACCCACTCACTGTCGGGCTATCTCAGTGCAGTGGCCTCTATTACCTACTCACTGCCGGGCTATCTCAGCGCCGTGGCCTCTATTACCTACTCACTGCCGGGCTATCTCAGTGCCGTGGCCTCTATTACCCACTCACTGCCGGGCTATCTCAGTGCCGTGGCACTATTACCTACTCACTGCCGGGCTATCTCAGTGCAGTGGTCCCTATTTCCCACTCACTGCTGGGCTGTCTCCACTACAGGATCAGTAGATGCCTGAAACCAGACTTGGGTCTGAGCTCCAGGCCTGCTTGTCTAGGATGACACTCAGCCTACAAACGAGGAACTCATAATAAGCCACAACAGTTGCGACAGTCTGTTCTGTGAGCTCACGACCATGCTGCTGAAAACATCTTACTGTACTGCAGACCCCAGCCACCTACCTCAGGGCAGGGTTTTTTCCTCCCAGGGGGAACATGAACCTTTACCCTTCAGCGGTTTGCCACAGTCCTGCTCACCTGCATCAATGAACCCCAGCCTTGCTGCTCTGAGGTGGGGGGTCATACAGAGAAGCCCAGGGTGACGCCCAGAACCAAGACAGCCACGCAGTAACTCAGGCTCAGGGATGGCTCCGGCCAGGTGCCAGGTCAAGTGCACAGCGTGAGGTCCCACCATGCAGCTCAGCATGGAGCTCAAGTTAAAACATACAAATTGCTCATGTCTGGAAGTTCCCACTCACTGCTTTTGAACCACAGATAAATGAAACCAAAGACAGGGGACCCGTGGGCTGTGGGGACACTGCCACACACAATCCACCCAGAGAACATGCCTAGCCAAGACACCGTCCGACTGTTTCCTCAAGTGCTCAAGTGTTTTCTCGTTAGGACTTTCAATGGATTTCTTCATCAACATATTGTCAATCCTGCAGGTTTCCTCCCAGATCAAAGAGGTTTTCTTAAGAAAACACAGGCCTAGCCGTCTTAGCAGGTTTGTGCACAGCCATAACTCACGGTCCCAGAGGGAGGTGGGCGCGGATGGCATTGTGGCAGCAATGAGGAGTCTGCCTCCGCAAGGGACTGCAGTCATGGTCTCCCAAGGCTCCCCAAGGCCCCCCAAGGCCCCATAAAGCCCCCCAAGGCCCCATAAGGCCCCCCAAGGCTTGGGACCAGACTTGAAGGACTCTGCAAGGACTGTAGCAGCCAAACACCTGCACTCAAAACCCAAAACGCCATCTCCAACTCTCTCTGCCCTCAGTGCAAAAGGCAGCTTGCTGGTTAAACTGCAATGCCAGAGGCATCCGGAACCAAACCACAGCAGTGTGAAAAATGACTCCAAGTTGTTCAATGTGGAGGCTACAGACACAATGTTTAGATTTGTCCCAGAAATCGCAGAATTGGTAGGAAAAGCCAAAGTGACGGTTGCTAAGGCTACAGGTAGGAAAATAAGATAATGACTGTGGAACAAAGAAGCAGAAGGCCAGTCCACGCTGCAGCATCACCCAGCAATCCTAAGGTCCTGAGAACGTTAGGTCCAGAGGACAAGGGTAGGGTTGTGAGAGCTGGGAGCTCCCAGTCCAGGGCCAGCGTGCAACCATCCTGCCCAGCGGTCTCCATCACATGAGCCAGCAGGCACATGTGGGCCTTCACCTGGCTAATACATCACAGACAAAACAGCAGGACGCAGGGGAGAGACAGCTGTGACACCCAAGAGCGGCATTCAAGTGAGCAAGGGAAATGAAAAAAGAGTGGGTCTGCCCACATCAAAGCAGTCCAACCACCAGAGGGTGTCGCATTGCACCTGCAGCACCCTGCCGCCCACAGCTCCGTGAAGCCAAGGCAGCTCAGAGGGCAATCTCACAGCACCATCTCCTGGTGTAAGAGCCCGACAGCCAGGACGCTCAGCATCGATAACAAAACCTGAACACTTCCAACCACGGGGCTGCTGCAATGGTGGAGCAGCCGGAACTGCAGCTTGCAATGCTGGCATCCCAAGGGCACCAGTGTGCGTCCCACCTTCTCCAGTTCTGATCCAGCACCCGGGTAATGGCTTTGGCAAAGCAGACTGCATGCTCAGATCCCTACCCGCCAACACAGAGGACCCAGGAGAAGCCTCCTGGCTTCGGCCTGGCCCAGCCCTGGTCCTTGTCGCCACTTGCACTGAACCAGCAGATCTCTCTGTCTCTTCCTCTCCCTCTGCAATGCTGCCTTTCAAATAAACAAATAAATCTTTAAAAATAAAAAATCAAAAGCAAATACTGGCACAGCAAATAGAGCCTTACAGCACCAGCCTCCCATATGAAGGCTCCTATTCAAGTGCTGGCTGCTCACTGTCAATCCAGCTCCCTGCTCCTGCACCTGGGAAAGCAGTGGCAGGTGGCCCCAGCATCTGACTCCTTTCCACCCTGTGGGACGCCTAGAGGGAGCTGGAAGTTCCTAGCTTTAGTACGGCCACACCTGGCCACTGCAGCCATCTAAGAGACAGAGAGCCAGGGGATGCAAGACTTTCTGCCTTTCAAATAAAACAAATCTTTTTCAAAAAGAGAATAAAATATTGAAGTAAAAGCTACTCTGCTAAACAAGAACAGAGAAGCACATTGCCTCATCACACATCCAACAACAGGGATGACGACACAGACGTGAACCGAGCTTTGGGGACGGTTCAGAGAACGCAAGGGGAAAAGCCCTGGCTGCCCAGCGGGGCCCCAGAGTCAGATGCACGTGAGCCACGTGAGCGAAACGCTGGCGTGCTGTGGTGACGACACAAGCTGGAGGCTGCCGGTCCAAAGGGAGACGAACTCCCAGCGGGGCGGGTGTTGCCCCCAGCACATGGGAAGATGGGTAACCATGAGGGACCACAGCCACCAGCAGCTGAAGACAAACACACCACACACCGCCCTTCATGAGCACCTTTAGCCTAACCAGACGCAGAGGAGACGGCCGGCCGCATCCGCCTGGTGCTTCCGCGTGCCAGGGTCTGAGCTGAGCACCAAGGAGACGGACGGCCGCATCCGCCTGGTGCTTCCGCGTGCCAGGGTCTGAGCTGAGCACCAAGGAGACGGACGGCCGCATCCGCCTGGTGCTTCCGCGTGCCAGGGTCTGAGCTGAGCACCAAGGAGACGGACGGCCGCATCCGCCTGGTGCTTCCGCGTGCCAGGGTCTGTGCTGAGCACTTTCTCCGGTTAAGAATCATCTGACTCGGGGGCTGGTATGCTGACGCAGCAGGGTAACTCCCAAGTGGGCGCAGATCTGTATCCCAACTGCTCTACTTCTGATCCAGCTCCCTGCCTGTGGCCTGGAAGGCAGCAGAGGATGGAGGAAGCCTTTGGAGCCCTGTACCTGTGGGGGAGACCCAGAAGAAGCTCCCAGCTTCAGACTGGCCCAATTCTGGCTGCTGTGGACATTTGGGGCATAAACCAGCAGACAGAAGACTTCTCAGTCTAAAGTCCTCTCTCTGTGAAATCTATCATTCAAACAAAAATACTAAATCTTAAAAAAAATAAAAATAAAAACCTACTTTATTTTATATTTGGAAGACAACAAGATAACATGAACAGAGATCTCCCATCTCTTAGTTCATTACCCCAAATGCCCCAGCAGCAGGGGCTGAGCCAAGCGGAAGCCACAAACCAGAAATCCATTTTGGTCTCCCAGGTTGGTGAGGTAGGGGCTCAGCCATCATGTGCCACTCCCCAGAGGGCACCTGAGCAGGAGGCCAGGCACTCAGGTATGGCTCATGGCATCCCAAACAGGAGCTTAACCCGTCCAGGGTTGTAACACCTCCTCCCATGCTAAACGTTCCATAAATGGATCTCTCTGAAACTAACCGAGCCAGTTTAGTGAGGTGGCTTGGTTTCAGGGGGAAAACCTGATACCTGTAAGCTGACAGACAAGGGCCCCAAAGCATGCAGGGCCCAAAAACCATGACAACAGAACTGACCACACGCAAGTTATCGACAGGAGATGCTTGGAGCAAGAGTGCTGACCCTGCAACAGCAGGAACCTGCCGAGGGCTTGCTTGTAGGTCAACTCCCACAGCGCCAGACCCCCAGCACTCTGCCGTCAGCAGCACTCCACAGTGCAGCAAGCTGGAGCACACACGTCCAAACTGAGGGAGTCAGGTGCACAGTTAGCCCAGAGCCCTAGCACAGTGCTGCCTGGGCTTAGCCAGCCCCCCCACCATCTGACTGCACTGCTCCGTGGGCTTCCTGGGTGTCCACCCAGGGCACAGCCTCGCTCACAGCCAGGACGATGCCGCTGCCCCCACTGCCAGCCGGTGACCCAGAGAACAAAGCACGGGAACAGACTTCCTTCAACGATGCTGCATAACCAGAACCCCTGGAACAGTTCTGCTGCAAGGCAAACTTTTCAAAATGTACACCAGCCACCTGCTTCGCGCCCACCTTCCACAGCCACCTGCTTCGCGCCCACCTTCCACAGCCACCTGCATCGCGCCCACCTTCCACAGCCACCCGCCCCAGTGCTCACCTTCCACAGCCACCCGCCCCAGTGCTCACCTTGAAGTACTTGCGACGCATCCGGGTCATGTTCATAAGCATCACCCCAGAGTTGAGCCCGGTCTCTCCGTAGTAGGGGTGTCTGGCGAAGCGGTTGTACCATCCGATTCGAGGCTCCTCATGTTCTGGGGCCATTGCAGCAATTTGTGTGGAATTAAATTCTTTTAGTAAAGACCAGATATCGTCCACAGGCCGTAAAAATAAGATATCGGTGTCGACATACAACAGGGAGTCCACTTCTTTCAAGATTAACTATGAGCAAAGACAGTTCAATGGTTAACAGCAGTGGCCCTAGAATTTACCCAGCACCACAACAAACAGAAGATGTTTTCATTATAAAAGGTTTAGCTAAGACCTAAGCTAACTTTAAACTTTAAAAAGTACATATATTATGCCTGATTCGGTCATTTTTGACAGCAGAGTATATAAGAATATGACGCTAAGCTGCGTGCAGGTTGAGGATTCCCAAACAGAAAATGCCCAACCCAAAGGCACTAAGACCCTCCGCCTTCCGAGCAGTGCCAGGAAGCCGTAGCTCGGGTCTGAGCCTCTCTCACAACCGAAGCGCCCCCAGCACCTTAGCAGAGGGGCCAGCATCACCTCCTCTGCCCTGGAGCTCGCAGCCAGCTCACAGAAAGATGGGAATGTTTCAGATTCCAGATGAGCCAGGACTCTAGAGCTCCAGGCAGACAGGCAATGTGTTTCTCTATTACCTCCTTTCAAAACAAAAACTTCTAGAGGGGCAGAAGGGTGGGATCTGCGGCACTGGACACGCTGATTGCCACAGCCCTGACTCGGACACAGAAAGGAGGCACCATGGGCAGGCCAGAGCTGCCAATGGCCATCAGACCAGGACAAAGGAACCAGCACCTCACTGGATGACTACGGTGGTTTTCGGGGTTTCATACAACAATCGCACTTGTGGATAAAGTGGAAGAGACTGGTGGAGAAGCAGCTGAGCCCAAGTGCTTTCCTTTGCTCACTGTCGCACAGGAGTACCCAGTGGTTACCAGTTAGCGGCCTCTCCCATCACACACGGACGGGGCAGCCTGTCTACCCACCCATCCTACACAGCCGGCAGGACACAGGTGCTGTGTCAATGACACACGGGGTGTGGCAGTCACTCAGTGTGCGACTCAGAAACATTTAAGGCCTACTGAATTCCAGACTGGCAAGGTCTTCCTTGGTGGAAGTGAAGACTGCTAACAGTTCCAGCCCCCGCATGTTTTAGGAGCAGCAAGCACACGGCTGACACAGCTACCAGGCTGCTTCACTTGCGAGCCAGTTCCCCACTAAGGTGCCTGAGAAAAGCAGCAGAGGATGGCCCAAGTGCCCGAGTTCCTGCCGCCTACATGGGAGACCCAGAAGCAGCTCCCGGGTCCCTGCTTTGGCCTGGCCCCAGCCACGGCTGTTGGGGCCACTGGGGGAGTGAACCAGCAGATGGAAGATCATTCTTTCTCTTCCAGTAACTGCCAGAAGCTAGAGAGGCCTCCACGTGTCCTGAAGGCACAAGGGCCCAAGCAGCACACCCAAGCCCCTGTCTGTGCACACTGCAGGGGGGGACGGCATCGCCTCAGAAATGACTGAAGGCATGTGCCCCCGTGTCAGGGTTTCACTCCGGCCCTGACTGGTTCTGCAGGAACCACAACGACAGTGCCCATGGGCACCGACTCTGCAGCGAGCCAGCCTTGGCACAGGCACAACCACCGCTGGGGTGGGCAGGGAGCACTCACAGGCAGGAACAGTCTCTGTGAGGCACAGGGCTTGAAGAGCTTCTTCCACTCAGCGGCGTTCTCCGGCGGGAAGGTGATGGGGTACAGCGTGTAGTTAAAGTTCTGCAGACGTGCCCAGCCGTCGAGCTGAAACACACGAAATGCCAAGATCTCACCTCCCAGGTGCCACACAGCAGAAACTGCCAGGCAGTTTCTGTATGTCCCCAGAAGTAGCACAGACTGTCCGCAGTCCACAGTCCATGAAATCTCAAACAACCCCGGAGCACTGGCACAGGGGAAGCCGAGAGAATACGAATCCGAACACCGGAGGATCAACGAGCTTACCAAGCCTTTCCCTTCCTCTCAATACCTCCACAAACGCAAACCAGGAAGGCTGGGCTCCAACTTTATCACCATGGAAAAGTAAAAGGGGTTGGAGCTCCCGCAGAGCAGGTAAGGCAACTTACAGCAATGGCTCCTCGTACGGAAATGGGTTCAACCCTGGATGATCCACTTCCTATGCAATTCCCTGCAAATACACTTGGGAAAACCCAACAGGAAGGTTCGAATCCTTGGGCTCCTGTGCCCATGTGGGAGGTCTGGAAAAAGCTCCTGGCTCCTGCCTTTGGTCTGGCTTAACCCTGGGAGTAACAGCTAACTGGGGAGTGAACCAGCAGACAAAAGATCACTCGCTTGCTCTCTCTGCAATTCTGCCTTTCAAATAAATAAGATAAATCTTAAGGGCCCAACACGGCAGCCGAGTGTCTTACGTCCTCACTTTGCATGTGCTGGGATCCCATATGGGTGCTGGCTTGTGTCCCGGCTGCTCAATTTTCCATCCAGTCCCCTGCTAGTGGCCTAGAAGAGGCCCAATGCCTTGGGACCCTGCACTCACATGGTAGACCTGGAACAAGCTCCTGGCTCCTGGCTTTGGACTGGTTCAGCTCCAGCCACTGAGGCCACTTGGGGAGTGAACCAGAAGATGGAAAATCTTTCTCTGTCTCTCCTCCTCTTGGTAAATCTGAATTTCCAATTAAAAAATAAAATAAATAAAAACTTTTAAAAATTTAAAAAATCTTAAGGCTGATATAAAAATGACTTTAAAATGTTTTCCTACCCATACTGGGTTTTTTTTTAATAATTTTGAGAGGCAGGCAGGAAGCAAAGTTGCTGTTTGCTGGTCCACTCCTAAACACTAGGCCAAAGCCAAGGAAAGCAGCCAATCGAGGTCTCTCCCATGGCTGCACCGAGGACCAGAGCCACGGACGCCAGTGCCAGGAACTGACACCGCAGTCAGACACCCAAGGCAGGGCGCGCTCATCCTAGGCGGCAGGGCAGCCACTTGGCCCCCCGGGCACACTGCTAACTTACACAGGGACCACTAACCAAACGCCCTGTGCCAAGCCAGCAGTGCCAAGCACATGTGAATGAACACACATACTTGTCAGCATCTGCGAGCACTTCAGGGCACCACACCAACTTGCTAGGAGCTCAGTTTAACATCTGCCTAGCACCGCCGCTCCGAGACCACAGCCGCCAGCTCCCCGGGGAGCCCTCGGAAACTCCCCTCGGACAGGGCGAAGCCCTTCAGCCAGCAGGCAGAGCTGCAGGGAACTGGCCCCATCCAGCATAGTTGAAGGCACTCTGCTCTGGCATTTCGGAAAAGGGTTTACAAAGCATGGGCACTTTTTACTATCCCTCCTGACTTACAAAATCACTTGGAGATCCCCCGACATCAACACTTCCAAATGAAAGACCTTAGTCATTCTTCCTTAAACATAATTAACCACCTTCCGTTTCGGTACCAAAAGCACATTCTATCCTCTATAGTTGATCTTTTTTTTCATCAAAAGCAATATCAAACATGTTCAGTGCTGGCTGCTCTGGTCACAGATACTCAGCAACAGCAGGGCTCTGCCAGGCAGGGCCAAGCTCGGAGCCACGGCACTGGAGGGGCGGAGGGGCTTGGGTGCACCCTGCTATCTTGCTGCAAGCTGGGGTTCCCAGGCGGCAGGGGTCTCTTGCCATTCCTGTCACCGCTGGCACAAGATGAATTCCTCCGTATTTTAGAAAACGACCCAGATAGAGAACAAGATGAAGGCACATATCCAAAACCCAGGAAGCCACATGCAGAACCAGAGCTTAAGAAAGCAAACTGTGCACGTGTGTGTGACAGTCAGACCAGGCACAGAGACTCCAACGTCATGAGACCTGCTCTGACGCAGGGTGGGGCGTGTCCAGCTGCTCGCTCACCTGCTGCCCTCCTGCTGAGCCATGGTGCTCACATCCTCAATCTGGGCCCCAGTCCCCAAGGCACCCTCCCTAACGGCAAGGGGTGGCCACACCCTTGCATTCACATCAGGAAAGGGGCAAAACCCACCCTGGGTGCACCCCCTCCTCTCCTGTCAGGGAGGGAGAGCATGAGTGCAGTGGCTGCACCCCAAGTGGCCCCTCCCACCAGTGGGTGGAAGCCCCACACTAAAAATGTTTCAGTCAAGGGCAGAGACCGACCAGCCACTGACCAACAAGAGCAGCTGCAGAATCCACGGCTGTCAGCACAGCCGCTGTGATCTTGGGCTTTCTGCCATGTCAGCCACCTGATCCCAACCAGCACAAACCCAAAGGAAGGTCCTTTCTCACAGCAGCAGGGATCCCAGATCCCTGCAGGGCTAAGCAGAGGGAGCAGGGACCCCAGAACCCTCCCCCCACCGGCAGGGCAGAGCAGAGGGAGCAGAGACCCCAGAACCCTCTCCCCACCGGCAGGGCTGAGCAGAGGCAGCAGCGACCCCAGGCCCCTGCAGGGCTGACACTGCCGTCAGACAGCGAGCCCAACTTCATGACCGTGCACCAAGGGACAAACCACGCGCACGCACCCTGCCTTTGAAGCTGTCGTGCAGCTGTTCCTCGGCAAAGATGTGGAACTGCAGGGGCTTAATGCTGAAGATGATGGCTGACTTCAACATGGTGAGGGTCTCCTCCAGTCTCTCGCCGCAGGCCACCACGGCCAGGTGCATTCTCTCCGCAGGCTGAGGCTTCAGGACAACGTACCTGCAGGGAGAGACCACCGCTCAGGGTGTCAGGACATGCTCCCGGCTCCAGTCTGGGGCGCAAAGCTTCCAGTCAGACAGCAGAGAACAAACCACAAGACACGACACGGTGCACTCAATCGCTACGCGCACGTGCTCCACAGGCCCTTCTCAGCCAACGCCCCTGTCGGAACCAGGGACAATCTGCCGAGAACACATGGGGGGCAGCACCGCGGGTGCACGGGGAGAAGTCACACCCGGCCACTGGGTTCTCAAGGCATCTGCCAGGACATGGGTTCTTCATGGTCCTGAAGAACTCCTCTCCAACGCCCTAAAAGCTCACCTTAAATGAAAACAGAACCCTGTGCATACCCTCCGTTCACCCAAAACCCGTCCCCTGGTTTCTCTCGCCCAACGGGCTAGCGTGATATTGTAACTTCACCCACAAATATTTCTATGAGGGTCCATAAAACACTAGGCAAACTCTAGTCCTTTGGGGAGGAGCGGTTCCTTAGACTCGAGCTTTCAGCCTCTGAGTACATTAGAACCCTCTTCCAGCACCAAGCACCAGCCTGCACGCCCCTGAACAAGCTGCCACCTCTGCCACCATCAAGAGTGAGTTTGGGTCATTTCACACTGTTACCTGCTTGAGAGATTGTGCAATGGACAGGGAGAGCAAGCACTCTGGCATCCGCTGGTTCACGTCCCCACATGCCCACGTGGCAGGGGCTGGGCAGGCTGAAGCCAGGAACGACGACCCCAATGCAGGCTCCCATGTCCTCACGCCGCGCCCAGCCGCCTCCCAGGGCCCAGCAGCAGCAGCAGCAGCAGGCACACCCACACCCGCAGCACAGCCATGACTCAGCCAGCCACACCAGCACACTGCCCCCACTTCCCCCGTGTCCCTTGTCGTGAGAGCACTCCACACAGGTGAGCCTGCACACCTGAGCTGACGAAATAAACTGTGGACATCTGCTGCTCACCGTGCCCACGAGGGGCACAAACCCGAAGGGGCCTCTGGATGAGCAGGACAGAGAGGTGGGCGTTCTGAGTGGCCACAGGGAAGTGGACAGCAGACCAAGGAATTGTGGCCCCTGGCCGGCAGGATCTGCATCTGGGCATGCCTCAGCCACGTAGACTTACACATCACCCAAGCAGGCATGCACCCCTCACAACTACAGAAACAACATTAAAAACAAAATAAAACCGGAGAAAAACAAAACAAACTTACTGCTCTGAAAGAACAACAGAAAGATCTTCCACCTGCTGGCTCACTATTAGAGCTGGTGTTTACTGGAGCTGGGGCTGGGCCAGGCAGAGGCCAAGAGCCTGGAACTTCCTCCAGATCTCCCATGTGGGTGCAGGGTCCCAAGGCTTCAGGCCGTCCTCGACTGCTTTCCCAGGCCACAAGAAGGAAGCTGGATGGGAAGTGGAGCTGCCGGGATCAGAACCGGCGCCCATATGGGATCCCGGCGCGTTCAAGGCGAGGACTTTAGCTTCTAGGCCATTGCGCCGGGCCCACCTCATAGATTCCAAACCCTCAGTGCCAGTCTTTCCGTTTTTACGTATATCTCTGCTCTAGAAGAATACATTTTTTTCTCCTGTTAGCATAAATAGCTCCAGTGCATTCCTGTACTGAAGTCATCACTCTGTAATGACACAATACCTGCCCCGGAATCGCCACTAGAGCAAAGACAACACAACAGGTGAACCAACAGAGCTCTACCAACCAAAGGGGTCGTGAATCCTTAAAACTGGGGGTCTGGGCTCGGTGGTGCAGCACCTTACATCACTGCCAACAACCCCCACCTCCTCTCTGCTCCTCACCTCCTCTCTGCGACCCCCACCTCCCCTCTATGACCCCCACCTCCCCTCTGTGACCCTCACCTCCCCTCTGAGACCCCCACCTCCTCTCTGTGACCCCACCTCCTCTCTGCGACCCCCACCTTCTCTGTGCTCCCCACCTCCTCTCTGCAACCCTCACCTCCTCTCTGTGCTTCTAGCCCCACTCCCTGCAAACACACCTGGAAGACACCGCTTTCAGCTTTGGTGTTTATCCAGCTTCCACAGGCAGAAGTTGGGGGGTGGGGAGGAAGGCGGGGAATACAGGCCAAGCTATGTTTGCAAAACCCCACTCACGAGCAAGCAGACTCCCCAAGAAGCACCGAGGAGAAGCGGGGACCCCGACACTCTGAAGCCATAAGCCACAGGGCAGCACCTGACCGGGCCTGGCCTGTGTCTGCATTTCCAGCACCTTCTCACAGGCGGGACAGACGAGGAGCCTCCGCTGACTTCAGGAGCCTAGGACATACTGAGCACACAAGCAATCTAAAAAGGCATGCAGCCCAGAGCTGTGAGGGCCAGTGTCCACGCGGAGCAGCTGGGGGCGGGGAGAACGCAGGGCCGCTGAACACAGGGAGCCAGGACGCAGACAGACAAAAGTGTGTTGTCCAGATCCACTGCGTGGCAAGGGGACCAAGCGTAACAGCATGTGTATCTTAAAACCCCCGAGGGAACAGATGTGAACAGTCTCACTACAAATGTGTGTGTGTGTGCAAAATAAGTCATGGGTCTGCTGATTAGCTCAGTACACGAGAATTCTACAGTAGAAGCCTGCATCAGCACACCGCCTCGTACCACATAAGTGTACACAATTATTAGTTGACTGAAAATAAAAATGAGAATTGGAAGAATGTTTTAATGTAGGTCCCCCACCTTCATGAGCTGCTCCCTCCAGGAAGCCTCCCCCCCTCCCCGCCCCACTGATGGCTGGGGGGACCCCCAACTGACAGGGAAGCAAGCTGAGGGCACAGAGCCAACACAACTTCACTCGGCTTGCAATGGTAAGCAGAATTCAAGTCCAACTGTAAGGTGAGCAACGAGCCCCTAGCAGCCCCACCCCACTCCGGGCCCCTCCCGCCTGCCAGTGCAGACCGCTGCCTGAGTCCCACTGCCCCTCCCACTGACCAGCACACGGGGAGGGTCTCCAGGGCCCCCACCCTCAGCACCCAAAGAGCAGAGCTGAGCCCCACAGCCCTCTGAGGGACACGACTTTATCCTCCCATTACCCAGTCTCGACCCACAAGCAACAGGATCCTCTCCCAGCTGTCCCCACGTCCTCAAAAAAGCTTTCCTCTTGGTAAAATCATCTTCCAGTTAGATAAATGCCATACACACATCTCACATACACATACAGTCTTACAGACGTAGTTTCTATTGCTTTATATATTTATGTGTTATTATATATTTATGTGTTATTATTTGCAAGTATATACATAAACACATGTACATCCCTGGGGATCAGAAGCAGGACTTGGCCACTTGTTTATCATTTTGCCACCTGCTGCTTAAAAATCTGATCAGAAAACATTGTAAGAATGGTTTATCTTAACAACCTCAACAAAAACCATTTTTAGAACATGTCCATTCTTGAAGTTGTAACCACAAAGCGGGGAGAAAGAGGAGATAACCAATCAGAGACGTGAGTTCTCTCCCCACGTGCCAACACGCGACAAAACGGGGACAGAGGTTCCTACAGTGGGCTACCTCGGCTTACCCACGCTGGAGCCTACCTAAGAGCCGCTTCCCAAAAGCAGTTCACTCCACAAACATCAGAGGGCAGCATCCAATAGGGATTCCAGTAACAGAGCGGGGAGCCGGCACACCTGACAGGCGAGACAGAAACGAAGAGTCCTTCGTGAGCATTGCAGTTGGGATCATGGCCTCAAGCCTAACCCTAACCCTGGCTAGCTCAAGGCCCCTGAAACTGCAAACCCACACTGCTACGGCAACCTCCGGAAGCCGCTCTCTCCCTTCCCTTCTTTAGGGTAGGAACCTACGGTGGAGTGGACGCCAGTGAGCTGGACACCAGCGGGGAAGGCCCTGCCATGCTTGGCACTGGTCATGCCCACTGCCCGGCCACGGCAGCACCTGCTGACCCTGACAGCCGGCGAGAGGGGCAACAGCACAGGCAGAACGGAGGAAATGCACTGTCATTGCTTTCAGGGTCACCATGAGCCCGAGCTGCTGCCATGGGACCTCACAGACCACACAGGGACCAGGGGCCCCAAATCAGGACAGAGCCAGGGGACCTCGGGTCACCCCGGCTATAGGGCAGGATTGAGGGCATAACTAAGCTCGTGGGTGGGAGCTAACAGGGACATGCACACGTGGTGTTACAGACTCATGGCTCCTCCTGGCAGAGCCTGGCACCCTGGGTGCGCAGCAGAGTGCACGATGCGGGGAGAGCCACACACCAGCCCTCATTCTGAAGAGTCGCCACGTTGTCTGCCCAGAGATCCACCAGCCTCAGCTCTGCACCAGTCTCGGCTCACACTTCTGAAGGCACCCTGGGAGCCTGCCCACCAGCACCCTGCTTCCCCCGAAGCTGTGTGGTCACAACCTCCAAGCCAACAGGAAACAGGGTTAGGTGGCAAGCCACTTTTCCTCTAAATGGACAGCATGCTCCAGCCCTTCTGTGGGTCTCAGCAGAATCGACAACTGTTTTAGGAAGCCTGGGTTTGCACCTGCACCCCGTTCCCACGTTCCCTCTGTGCTTCTAACCCAAATCCCTGTAAGCAGCTGGGAGACAGCACATGATGGTCCCAAGCCCTTGGGTCCCTGTCACCCATGAGAGAGACCTGGATGGAGTTCCTGGCCCCTAACTGGCTGCTGTAGGCATTCACGAAGTGAACGAGGTCTCTTTCTGTCCCTCTGCCTTCCAATCAAACCTTCAAGAAGAGCACAGGGGCCTCTGGTGCAAGGCAGCACAGCCAATGCAGCTGCACAGGAGGCCTCCACGGAGGAAAGCTGCCCTTGCACCCTCCTGCCTCGCTTGTGTGCCCCTCCCTTGGCCCTCCCCCTGCCCTGCGGAACCCCAGCAAGGCACAGCCTGGAGATGGACACCAGGAAGGAAACTCACTATTTCCTAAGAACTTGAGATTGAACTTGCAATGATACCATCTGCTGCCTCAAACACAGAACAAGCCTTCCTGTCCCTCAGGCCACTTGCTTACACTGCAGAAAATGCAGACACAGGGGTCCAGCCCCACACCAAGAACCAAATGCAGCAGAAGGGGCCATGGCCCCTCCTCAAGTTGTCTGCCTCGCCCCTGAAGGAATGGCCTGCAAGCACCGATCAAGGGACAGAGCAAGGGTTCTCTGAGTCCAGGGACAGTGGCATCCCCTGATGGTGACAGGTAGGCACCTGCCGGTCACAGCGTGCAGAGATGCGTGCTCTGGCCAGCTGAGAGGATATCACCGTGGAAACAGAAAGCACATACATGGTCCCTGCAACATCACCTGAGGCTTTCAGAACAGAAAAAAACAAACAAAACAGGAGACAGGGGAGCTGACCAAAACAGGCATCTCCCAAACGCCACAACGTGAACAGCCAGCGCTGTAGTTTAGCAGGCTAAGCCACTGCCTAAGCACCAGCATCCCATGTGGTCACTAATTCGAGTCCTGACTGCTCTACTTCTGATCCAGCTCCAAAGGAAAGCAGCAGAGGATGGTCACACTGCTTGGGACCTTGCAACCACGTGGGAGACCTGGACAGAAGAAGCTCCGGGCTTTGGATCACCTCAACTCCAGCCACTGTAGCCATCTGAGGAGTGAACCAGGGGATGGAAGATCTCTCCTCTCTGTAACTCTGGATATCAAATAGAAATAAATCTTAAAAAAAAAAAAAGACGTATTTCATGCTCTGGGCTAAACAGCATTTAACAGCCACGCTCACACACAAAGCCAGTCCTCAAACCAGAGGTTTGCTTGACTCCAGCCACCAAAGTTCTTTTTATCTTCTTATAGCAGACTGCAAAACTTACTTCTCACTTCCAAATGACAATCACAAGCCTTCAGCAAACTCCAGGAACAGTGCGGGTGGAAGGTGGCCTGGGAGGGGCTGGGGGGCACACGGGCACTGATGGGCAGTGCCCGAGAAGGTGGTCCACATGACGCTGCCATGCCAGGCTCCAGCACCAAGAAGGATTTCCAGAAGGCTGACCTAAACCCCCTGCCCCAAGTCAGACCTTGGCCCCTGCCCCCGTTTCCATCCTGAGACTCAGTAAGTGGGAAAGGCACTCACCAACCGCCCTCAAACAATGATCCCACCAATTCAAAAGCTAACAATACACGCCCGCCCCCCAACCTCCTGCAGCACCAAGGCAAAAGAAAGGGAACGCACAGCCCATCTGAAATCCACTCTGAGCTGCTTGCATGCGCACACCATGAACTCACACACAGCATGTGCTGGCTGCCTGGCTGGCGGCGCTGTAGGCAGCCCCTCCCGGCAGACGTGCTCACAACCTCCGCGTCTCAGAGTGAGATCTCCTTATCACCAGTGCGCATGACTCTCCATTGGCCAATCTGTGCCCCCCTCTAAAAGCACAAAATACTATTAATTACTTTAATGAAGGTAATTACTGGCCTTTATTAAATGCTACTCATCAGGTTTCTGCTAAGCAATTGCTGTGGTTTGCACATCTGTCTCCCCTACTCCTTGGGGAGGGCGTGAGGAGGTGAGTAGTTGGTACCCCGTCAGAGAGGCCCAGAGGGCTGTCTGCACTTGCACGGGAGACTTGGAACAAGCTCCTGGCTCCCGGCTTCAGACTGGCTCAGCTCTGGCCGCTGCGGTCAACTCGGAGTGAATCAGCAGATGGAAGATCTTCCTATCTGTCTGCGACACATGGCTTTAGCAGCCAGTCCTGCCAAGAACCAGGGAGCTGGGACACAGGATGAGGCACAATAGGAGAGGCAGGGAGCCCCACAGGAGAACGCAGAGACCAAGGGGTTTGCTACAGAATCGACCCTTTCTTGACTTTACAGTCATGGCAAGGTAGGAAAAGCTTCCTTGCTCAAAGTCCAAGTGCATCCCAGTGGCCCTCCACTGCCTCCACAACGCTGGCTTCCTTACAGCACAGAGCATGCGGCTGAGATGTGGGGCCTGGGACCCCACTGCCAGGCATGCAAGCTGAGCAGGGATTCCCTGGGAATGCTGCCTGGGGAACAGACAACAGCTGGCCACAATGTAAACTATGAGAGGGCCCCACAGTATTAGCTACAGTGTCCTGTCCTGATAAAGCTTCACTGTTACCATACCAGGCAACACACTAGAAAACCCTGATGGAGGAACCCGTACGATGGCGGATGCTGGCTTCTGGGGTCAGGTCAGGTCGGGCCAGGGTGACTTCTAAGGCCACAGTCCAACCCTGCACTCTTCCAATTCCAGCACTCACAGGACATGACAAAAATGCTGACTCCATGCCTCCCCAGATGTGCACACACAGCAAGCTGACTGTCCTGTGTCAACCATCACAGTAAGGTGGCAAAGTCCAGAAACGGGGACACCACAATGTCGGGTTCCTGGTTTCCCCAGTGCCATGCCACATCTCCACTGTCACTGCCAGGATCTACCAGCAAAGTGTGGGGCTGGAATCACCCAGAGGAGTTCACAGCGCACAAAGTCGCCAGTGTGACCACATTAAGATCCCAGGGTCTCCCCACAGGGAGGGAATACTGCTCCCCAGCATGACAGCGAGGCTGCCTCCTCCACCTGCCTCAGGGGCCCTAAGCCAGCCAAGCCAGGTCCCCCTCCCTCCCCTGACAAGGCTGACTGGTCCACAGAAGGCACGAGACCAACCGGAGCCAGCCCCTGGGCTTTACTGGTTCAGGGAGAGGAGAGAACACACCTGGCCGGCAGCACGACAGAATCAAGCAGCCATGGTTCTTCCTCCCATGCTGTTGAAGACGGAGCTGTCGGATGTTAGCTGACCACCAAGCAGTGTATTATGAACTAGGTAAGGTCATCAGTGCAGTAGCTCAAGTTAAGACACAGTACTGCACACTAGAAACCTGCTATGGAGAAGCTCCTGTCCTACACACACAGAAACCAAGAGAGGTGACCAGTTTGATCGTGGTCATCACCCCACAAAACACACTTGCACTAAAACATCAAGCTGCACACTTCAAGTTCAACACGAATTCTGTTTATCAGCCGTATCCCAACACAGCCGGAAGAATCATGTAAGCTATGTTAGTATCTTCCTTCCTGGTGAGGAAATTAATGAGAAGTGACATCAATCTGCCAAGGCTCCACGGCAACAGGCGTCTAGAAGGGATCACGGGCTTGTCCAAGATCTACATATTTCAGAATGCACCAAATGCTAAGACATCCCACTGGAAAGTGGTTCCCATTCAAGCGCATTAAGAACATGGATTGGACACAAGATTCTGTGCAAAGAATACTTTTTGTTTTTTTTAAGATGTGGCTGCAAAAGCTATTCAGTCTACATTCACCCTTACTTAAGAAATAAAGCTCCAATCTCTCAAGGAGACCACAGCGCAAGAAGCAAGAGTGCCAGGGCAACCTTAGCTCTTCTTGGGGGTCCGCTCTCTGGCTACTGCACCCTGACAAGGCGGCACTGGCCAGCAAACAGCGGACACTCACTTCCAGCCCTGGTCCAGCTGCACTGCCATGTGTGCTGGGGAGGAGCAATCAGAGACGCTGACAAGGCACAGCCCATCATGAGTGAGGCAACCACCCAGCACCCCATTTGAGCCCTGCCAGGACTCCTCCTCCTGTTCCACTTGCCATCCAGCACCTGCAGTGCCTGGGAAAGCAGAGGAAGGCAGCCCAAGTGTGGGGACCCTGCCACTCACACAGCAGGTCTTGGCGTGGGTCTGGCCCAGCCACCACGGCCGTGGCCATTTGGGAAGTCATTCCAAGGGCGGAAGAGCATTCTGTCTCTGCCTTTCAAACAAGTAACAAAATCTTAGAACACCCACTGCCCATCCCTGACCTGACAAGGCACAAGTAAAACGTGTCTACCCAGAGCTTACCTGAGGCCCCTTCGCCCCAACACCTCCTGCCACACACAGGGGTGATGGAATGTTCTCCAAGCGGTGTCAGAGGCACTAGTGGACTGAGGCCTGACCACGCGCCACCTCGCACCGCCTCCTCCGTGACACCTCACGCTCACTGCTCTCACCCATCCACCAGCACCGAGCCCCTGGTCTGTTCACTGCCCAACAACCTCCTCAAAGCCGCCTGGCCAGGCAGACAACAGCCACTGGGAATCTGAGGCTGAAACAAAGTTACTGCATCACAGTAAGATGCTGACATCCTCCTGCTGCCCCCTTCCACCACATGCAAGGTGCAGACGCTTTGCAGCAGCCTCAGGGCGTGTCACTCTCAGTGGGCTCTTCCAACTCACGTGTGGCTGCACCGCCCGGGGACTGGACCCTGGGAGTGACAAGCCTGGCCCACGAAGTTCAGAGTTGTGGGACTTGCCTGACCTGAGCCAAATTGCAGGGTTGAAACCCAGGTCCAGCCAGAGGCAAGGCCTTAGCCTGGCAAGTGGAACCCACACTGTGGGGAACCCTTGCTCCAGCTCCCTGCCAGCTCAGACCCGGGCAGCCAGCAGGTGCCAGCTCCCATAGTTGGGTCTGTGCCACTCTCCTGGGACACTGAGATTTGAGTTCTCCCGCTCCTGGCTTCAGGCCTGCCCAGCCCTGGCCCAGCAATGGAAGCTCTCACCAACCCTGAAATGAAAACCTTTCTTTACAGCAGCCAGTTGTGCAAGGCACTGAAGTATCAAACTCCAGGCACAGGCTGTGCTTCCTGACTTGTCCCAAGAACTGTGCGTCAGACTCTCAACCTACCAGAGCACAGGGGCACCACCATCCCGGCTTCACCACAGCAGCGACCAGTAACCCCAAAGGCTACAGGAAGAAGCGGATAGGCGCCCCTGGAGAGCTGCCCACCTCAAGGCTGGGCACACACACAGCCAAGAAACACACACCGAGTCCCGGGAATTCCAATTCGTGCAGTGACTTCACCAAGCCCACCAGGTCACTCTGCTGCTCCGGACATACCGACGTTTCCAGAAACGTCCCTCCACCCTCTCCCCCACGATACCAGGGCACGCCAAGTTTATCGCTTGGGCTTCCCAACTTCCGACGAGCTGAGGAACAACCCCCGGAGTGGGCATCCCAGGAGCAAAACGCACCGCGCGCACACAGGCACGTGCAGAGCCACGACGCCTGCAGGCGAGGAGGCGTCGCCAAGTCCGCGAAGGAAACGCCGGACACTCATTTCTACCCGCTTTGAAGAGCGCCCGATAAAGACCCGGTCGCAGCAACCTCACGGCCGGAGCAGCCGGTTCGCCCGGGCTGGCGGCGGCCGGGACGCGGGGCTGACGCGCGAGCGGCCCGGCCGACCCCCGGCCCCAGCGCCCCCCGGCGCGGCCCTCCAGCGGGGGAAGCCGTACCTGTCCGCCCGAGCCGGACGCGCCGCGGGGCCCGCGCTGCCCGCCCCGGGGCCCGCGCTGCCCGCTCCGCTCACGGCGCCGCGCCCGCCGCCCGCCAGCCAGGAGGCCTCCGCGGCGCGCGGCTCCCCGTCGGCGCCGCGCTCGGGGCCCGCGGCGAGCTGGCTGAAGGCGTAGAGCAGCGAGCAGAAGCCGCAGAGCAGGCCCAGCGCCACGACGCGCAGGTAGCGCCGCATCGCGCCGCCGGCCCCGGCGAGCCGCCGCGCAGGGAGCGGCTCCGCGCAGCCGCGCCGCCCCGGCCCGCCCCGCCCGGAAGCCGCCGCGCGCTCGGGCCGCGAGGGCAGGGCCGGCGGGGCGGCGCGGGGTTGGCCGGGGCGCGCGCGCGCACGGCTCGGCACCGCCCCTCCGCGCGCCGCGGGGCCGCGCGTCCGGAATTCAAAAGCCGCCCGTGCACGTGCTGCTGGCCGCGGGCCCGGCGCGCTGCCCGGCGTGTGCACCGACCCCGCACCCCGACCCGATTCCCCCCCGTGCGTGGGCCGAGGCGCCCGCGCCCCCGCAGGCTGCGGAAGGGGCCTCCCGCCCACGCCTTCCGGACCTGCCCTGCCCCGCGTGCGCGTGTCCAGAACGGAATGGGCCCTCTCCCCGGTTTCCGCTCTCTCCTCCACAGCCCGGTTTCCTCTGCGGTGACCCGAGGCTCCGGGCGGGGGCTGCGGCGGGGTGTCCAGGGCGAGCGAGGGGGCGCCCCGTGCGGGCTCTGGGAGCGGCGCCCCAAGGGCGTTTGCTGGCTGGGGGGAGACCCACGGGGGTCACAGCAGCGCATTCGCATGTTAAGGCGCCGCCCCGCTCGCTGGTGAAGGCACCACGCTGACTGGGAACGCGGGAAGGGCACCGTGCACGCCTCAGTTCACCCCAACAGAGTTCTTTAACTGGCAGAAAGTGCAAAGTCGTATGTCATAAAATGTGCCAGGAGAGTGGGAAGCGGCGTTCCTCGGGCAGCAAGCGTTTCCTGGGTGCGTGTAACACAGCCCGGGGGAGGAGCATCCGGACGCTGCCCTCGCAGGGGACTGGGACTGCAGACAGGACACCACGGGCCCGTCTCCACACCGTGCAGCTGTCACGGCGCTGAGAGGCGGAAGCACCGCAGGGCGGGCAGCCGGCGTTGGGAGCAGCAGCTCAGGCTGTGTGGACAGAGCCGGCGTTGGGAGCAGCAGGCTGTGTGGACGGAGACACAGGAGGGCTAGTGGCCATACAGAATGGTCTCACAGAGGCAGCTGCCAAGACACTCCGCAGAGTGGAGCGGAAGGGTGGCTGCTGCCCTCCAGCAGCTTGCTCAGACCAGAGTGGCATCGGGAGGGCTGTGTGCGCCCGCACCTGCAGGCCGCTCCTGGGCGGGGAAAGGACCTCCACAACAGAGGACTAGCCCGCCTAGTTGCGAAGCACGATTCCCAAGCGCAGACTCCAAAAGAGACTTCGGTGTCTCCTCTGTTCGCCCTGTGCAGATGGCTCCGTTTCCACGCTTCGATTCCTAGAGCTGTTATTGGACAGGAAGAAAAGTGAGAAAAAATGCTGTTCATGTAAATATAATTCTAAAAAATTCTGTTTTGTTGGAAAAGCAGAGAGAGAGAGACAAAGGGGGAGATCTTCCTCCCACTGATTCACTGCATCTGAATGGTCCCAACTGCCAGGGGTGGACAGGACTGGAGTAAGGGGCCAGCAGGACTCTGCTTGAGTGCCAGGGACCCAGTGCCTGAGGGCGCACGCCCCCTGCCTCCACGATGCGCTTCAGCAGGAACCAGGAGGAGTAACAGGGGCGCCAGGATTCAACCCAGGCACCCCAAGATGAGACGTGGGCCCTTTTAAGCAGTGATGCAAGCTGTTGTGCCAACACTCAGGCCCGGAGTCCTTCATCCCAGGTGCTCATTCGGACTGGGAAATATGGGGAAGGGGAAGGGTGGGGCCAAAGGACAGAGTGGAGTCATTCTCTTCATTCTGAAAACTTAGCTCTTGGCCACGGTACCAGGAGGGGTGGAAAACCAGCCAGCCAGACCCTGCAAGCAGCCACGGTGACTCAGCACGCAGCTGCCAGTGCCAGCCGCAAGCGGGAAGACTGGAAGTCTGGGTGGGGGAGGGGGCAGGGAGACTCAGTGGGACACCTTCGGTTTTCCCTGGCCCGGGTGTCAGCAACAGTCCATGCCCAGTGTCATCAGTAAGACCAAAGGCAGATTGCAGGGGGATCTAGTCACAGGGCAGATGTTCAGTCACCCACATGCACAAATCCCCCAGCAACTGTGGCTGACTGAGGTTCTGTTTGCAGTGCCAAGGGGCACTCAGGGCGCCCGTTACTCAAATCGGGAATTCTGATGTTGGGGCCAGTGCCGTGGTATAGTAGGCTGTTTCCACCTGCGCTGCTGGCATCCCATATGGGCGCCGATTCCTGTCCTGGCTGCTGTATTTCTAATCCAGTTCGCTGGTCATAGCCTGGAAAAGCAGCCGAGAATGACCCAAGTCTGTGGAGCCTGGCTCCCACGTGGGAGACCCGGATGAAGTTCCTGGCTTCTGATCGGCTCAGCTGCGGCCATTGTGGCCACTTGGGGGAGGACTAGCCCATTGTGCCATCGTGCTGAGTCCTCTTTACATCGGTGTACTCTGTAGTGCAAACAGGCTTTTTCTGATTCACGCCCACAGAGGTGGGGCAGACATCGTGGTGCAGGGCTTAAGCATGGCATGGCCACACCCCGTTCAGGAGGGCGAGTACCTCTCGGGACTCTGCTTCTGATTTCCAGACTCATGCTGGTGCACTGAAGCATACCCTGCAGAAGAGAGAACAGTGGCTAGGTGACTGGATCCCTGCCACCCACGGGTGAAATCCAGTGCTCCTGGCTTCTGGCCTCAGCTTTGGCTGTTGTCAGCATGTAGGCAGTGAACCAACAGATGGAAGACTTTCTTTGCATTTCAAATAAACAAAAGTATAAAAACATAAAGGGGCAACAGATACACCCTACACCTACACCAAGACACACTAAGTTCAACAGCAGCTCATGTACTACCACTGCCCCTGGGGCCGAGCAGGACCGGGGTCGGGGCTCTTGGGATGTTTCCACGCAGACCTCTCGCCTTAGCTCCAAGGCCGGGACATCTGCATCGGCTGGCCCTGTATCAGTTAAATGGTGTGGACTTCTGAGGCCATGGCTTTAGGACAGTGAAGTGCTCTTGTAATGCCACATTAAAGTGTATGAGTGCCACTTCTTTTTTTTTAAAGCTTTATTTATTTTTATTGCAAAGTCAGATGTACAGAGAGGAGGAGAGACAGAGAAGATCTTCCATCCGATGATTCACTCCTCAAATGGCCGCAATGGCTGGAGCTGACCCAATCCAAAGCTGGGAGCCAGGAGCTTCCTCCAGGTTTCCCACATGGGTGCAGGGTTCCAAGGCTTTGGGCCGTCCTCTACTGCTTTCCCAGGCCACAAGCAGGGAGCTGGATGGGAAATGGGGCTGGCAGGATTAGAACTGGTGCCCATATGGGATCCTGGCACATGAGAGGCAAGGACTTCAGCCACTAGGCTACTGTGCTAGGCCCATGAGTGTCACTTTTTAAAAATTATTTATTTACTTACTTACTGTTTTTAATTTTGCGAGTGCCACTTCTTAAAGAGAACGGTGAGACGGGCCTCTGCCCTGGTGAACAGCTCGCTGTACACAATGGCCAAGTCGCTGTGCTGTGTGTGACATGTCCTCAGACCGCAGGTTGTGTTGTCCCCTCCACCCCCGAGACTCACCCCCAGGGGCTGTCCTGGCTGCTGCCACTCATCCATGTGTGCTGTTTCCACGGAGCAGCCTTCTTTGCCCTTGAACAGTCTTGTCCTTCCGCTTTTGAAAAATGACCCGCGACATCCTATAACTCTTCATCCTACTCAGCTGTTTGGCGGTAAAGACGAGTCTGGCTTTTTTCTACACTCGCTGCGGAAGGCCTGGGGGTACGTGGGAGAGGGAGCAGCGTGTGTCTGTTAGGAAGCCACAGCACGATGGTCCTGGACGCAGCACAGCAATGTCGACCAGTGGACTGACACTTCAAAGCCCGGATCAGCAAGTTACGACTCCCTGACACTGGCAGGTGGCAGACCACGGAAGCAACATAAAGAGCTAGGAACGTGAAAGCTTCTAATGACAGCATTTTATACGCAGAAGCTACATCGTATTTTAGGCAATAAAGATTTCTGTTTCAAAGTTAGTATGCTGTCAACGTGGAAAAGCCAGGTGTTTTCCTTTTAATTATCTTCATTTTGTGTATCACGATCACTAACATATTAAGAAAGCATCTAATAAAAACTCTATCTTAAGTCGACTTCATGTGATACAAGGTTTACTGTGTCTTCGTGTGTGACTGTGTTTTATAATAAGCTCTGAAAAACATCAACTTTATCTCTGAAAGGAATGTGGTTAAGAGGAAGCTGCTGCTGAAACTCTGGTAGACATTCAGGAAGCAGTGCTGAACGCGCAGCCCAAGCCAGGCGCTGCAGCCCGGGCACTAACACCGCTGTGAGCACTTCCAGTCGCCGGGGCCGCGTGCCGAGCATGGTAGAGCAGGGTGATCTGCCAGCAAGTGAAAGCAACTTAGGATTTAATGAAAGTAAAACTAAATTCCATACCAGTCGTCTCTGCCCACTGTTCTAGTCCCACTAGCTTTCTTTTTATCTCTATAAAGATTTATTTATTTGAATGTCAAAGCCAGAGAGGAGATCTTCCATCTGGCTCACTCCCAGACAGCCACGGAGATGAGGACTGAAGACCAGAGGGGGAGCTTCACCCAGGTCTCCCACGTGGACGGCAGAGGACCAGACTCCGACCACCTTCTCATGTTTTCCCAGGCTGTTAACATGGAGCTGGATAAGGAGCAGCAGGAACTCACACTTGGGCCCCTATGGGATGCCAGGGTCACAGACAGGGGCTTCCCCCTCTGGGCCACAGTGCCAGCCCAGAGTTCTATATTATGGAAAGAGTTTTTCTGGGAACAGAGCCTACGCCTGACACTGGATGACAGAACACCGTTCTACACCACACTCCTGTGCAATACTTCCTGTGAAACATACCCTTTCCTTGGGCCCTACAAAAGGTCACAGAAACCTTCATAAAGAAGGTTCACACTTAGTGAAAACAACAAAGCAATTAGGAAATTCACGGGATGGACATTTGCTCCCGGCATCCTTGGGTCAGCCAGGATTCTCATCCTAGTTTGAGGCGTGGGTGAGTGTCTGATGAAGATCCTGTTCCCACCTTCACATCTGTACAGGTCATCATGCCTAGCCCAAGCCATGCCCACTTCCCAGCAGGCGCTTCTCTCCCGTGGCCAGCTCTGACAAGTCCTGGACGCCTTGCCAGTCCGCCCTGCCAGTCGCCTGCTCCTCACCAGGTGCGATGCCTGGCAAGCATTTAACTTTGACTTGAAAATTAGAATATTCTTCCCCATTACATTAACTTTTAATTTTCACTGTCACCAAACAAATATATAAAACATCTGAAACATCAAAACCAGTAACACCAAAAAAAAATTCATGTTTTAAAAGAACATAACTCAACCGGTGGGTTGGTATTCCACCGGAATATCTTAAGTAAACACAATTTTTAATTTTTCATTTAACACAACTAAAGAATGAGGTATATAAATGTTTTAATCACAGACTTTTACTGTATGCAATTAACTGTATTTCACAACTAGCATCTTACAAAAAAACACAGTGCCATTGTGCCCGTAAAAAGTGCTGTAATTAAACAGAAAATTACATCGCCACGCGAAACCAGCAAAGGTCACAAGAGCCAAGGTCTACAGCTTTATTTTTTTCTTGAAATGTTATCATGACGGATTTTAAGTGATACTTTATATCAAGTTATATTTTAAGTTCATTTATATTCCAGAAGTCTCCCATAGATGAACATATACTGAACAAAAAATTTTTAAAAAGTAGGAGACCCTAGAAGAATTTAAGAAGTACCATGTGGTTTCCAGGTTGGATTTTCAAGTATAACATAAAAAACCCTCACTTTGTTGTAAACAAAAAAGCAAAATCTGTAGTCATAAAAATATTTTATTGGTAATTTTACATAAGAGTGAGTGGGGCTGTCACTACTGCTCCATTTCAGGGCAGTGATAAATGCAGAAACGGGCAGCTGGGTCTGAAAGGGGATTCTGTGATCTCCCTACACTGTAGACTTACTGAGGAGCCGACTGGACTGAGTGAACAGCCTTTCTTTTCGGCTGTGAGCAGCTCTGAGCAGCAGTCCCCATTTCTGCACTGGACTCGTGCTTCGTGACCCTGGTAAGTGTGGGGCAAGTGAACAATGATAAACCTACCATCAAGTTAAAGCTTTTCCAAAATTGCAGCTTTGAAAATATGGCAACACTATTTTATTTTCTGTTTTGCCAAATTGTTACGATTATTTGAATTTTAATGTTTTATATAATAGAGAAAATACCAGTGTTCGATGACAACAGCACTAAGCCTGAATCACAAAGCTAAATAACCAATGCTTGTTGTTTACTAGTCTGCTAGTAAACATTACAATAAATGAATGTTTTGAAAAATAAGCAAAACAAACAAAAACATAAAGCCAGAAACATAATTCAGGAACAATAATTTAGTAAAATGTGTCAAAAACATTGGCAAATGTTCATACAAATTCTTTATTTAATAAGTTTTCCTATTTAACCACACCAAGTACCAGCAGGTGTATTTAAGAGAACCATTAAGAAAATCCTGTTGTAGCAATAGTTGATTAAGTTGATCTTTGACTTGTACACATATAACTATTTGTCTCACAATTTTCAAGTAATACATATTTAGGCAGCTTGCACTATGTTATAAAAAATTTAAATTCGTTACATGCCAATAGTAGAGAATTCAAGAATTATGTGTTAGAATTCACTAAACTAAAAGTGAAAATAAATTTACCAGTAACACTGCATAAGGAGTTGTCCAACCACATCCTCGCGGCACTTGACTGCAGAGATGGAAACATGAAGCCTTGGAAGACTGCAACAGACTCTGACAAATTCTAACAGATTTCCGTTTCGTGTCAACCTCAAATTATGGATTGTGCATGGACGTGGTGTCATGAAAACGTGGTGCCTCGTGGCATCCTCTGTATCTGCAGGCCAGGACGAGTGCTGAGCCTTTAGTGAGACTCTCCATTGAGGGAGGAGGCTTCCCCTCGGGGCGAGGACGACCTGGACAGCCCTCTCTCTGTGTTGTCGGAGCTCGAGCCGCTCTGGCTGTGCGGGTCTGCAGAGGCAGCACTGGACGCAGCCGGCGGCTTGGTTTTCTCTTTAAAGTCTGTAATGATGACCGTCAGATCGCCCACGGTCACTTCCAAATGCTGGGCACTACTCCGATCCACATTTTTCAATCTGGGCCTGAACACAAAAATGATCATATCATAAACTAGCTCTTCTCTATCCAATTTCTGAGCACATAATAAATTAAGAACTAGATGAATGCAAACAAATGGAGGCTTCTGTTTAAAATGATTCACATGTAATGTAACCAACCATAAAAATATCATTAAATGTTTCAAATTGCTAACATTAATCAGCCAATTGCTCACAAGCCTTCTTCAACACAAGAAAGCAAATCAAAGAGCCGTGTGGCAGGCTGCAAGCGCAGTGCCTCGTGTGGCGGGCTGCAAGCGCAGTGCCTCGTGTGGCGGGCTGCCAGCGCAGTGCCTGCCATGTGGCGGGCTGCCAGCGCAGTGCCTCGTGTGGCGGGCTGCAAGCGCAGTGCCTCGTGTGGCGGGCTGCCAGCGCAGTGCCTCGTGTGGCGGGCTGCAAGCGCAGTGCCTCGTGTGGCGGGCTGCCAGCGCAGTGCCTCGTGTGGCGGGCTGCCAGCGCAGTGCCTCGTGTGGCGGGCTGCCAGCGCAGTGCCTCGTGTGGCGGGCTGCCAGCGCAGTGCCTCGTGTGGCGGGCTGCCAGTGCAGTGCCTCGTGTGGCGGGCTGCCAGCACAGTGCCTTGTGTGGCAGTTGCAAGTGCAGTGCCTCGTGTGGCGGGCTGCCAGCGCAGTGCCTCGTGTGGCGGGCTGCAAGCGCAGTGCCTGCCATGTGGTGGGCTGCCAGCGCAGTGCCTCGTGTGGCGGGCTGCAAGCACAGTGCCTGCCATGTGGCGGGCTGCAAGCGCAGTGCCTCGTGTGGCGGGCTGCAAGCGCAGTGCCTCGTGTGGCGGGCTGCAAGCGCAGTGCCTGCCATGTGGCGGGCTGCAAGCGCAGTGCCTGCCATGTGGCGGGCTGCAAGCGCAGTGCCTCGTGTGGCGGGCTGCCAGTGCAGTGCCTCGTGTGGCGGGCTGCCAGCGCAGTGCCTCGTGTGGCAGCTGCAAGCGCAGTGCCTCGTGTGGCGGGCTGCCAGCGCAGTGCCTCGTGTGTCTGTGCAGCAGCAGGCTGGGAACGCCACAGAGCAGGAGCTGAGGCTGGACCACTCCAGACAGGGTCACGAGCAGCCTCGGGAGGGCAGCGTGCTGGCCCCGACAGCCCATGTACACTACTGTCCAGGTGCAGAATACTGACACATATCAAGGAGCTCTTTTTTGTGAAGAAAACAGAAAAGCTAAACTGAAATTCACAGCCTCTGTGTTCAATTTCCAATCAGGAAGAACTGTCAGAACACTTAGCAATCCAAGAGGCGAGATGGTTCACTCCCACTGCGTGTGCATGAGCACATCAAGTACAAGAATTCTATGAAAACACTTAGGTTTGGCGTGATGGCCCAATTAGCTCATCCTCCTCTTAGAAGCATAAAGATCCCATAAGGGCACCAGTTCATGCCCTGGTTGCTCCACTTCACACCCAGCTCCCTGCTTATGGCCTGGGAGAGCTGCTGAGGATGGCCCAAGTCTTTGGGACCCTGCACCTGTGTGGGAAACTGGAAGAAGCTCCTGGCTCTTGGCTTCAGATTGGCTCAGTTCCAGCCATTGTGGTTATTTGGGGAATGAAGTAGTGGGTGGGAGATCTTTCTCTCTGTCTCCTTTTGTCTGTAAATCTACCTTTCCAATTGAAAAACAATATTTAAAAGTTAAAAATAAAATTAAAAAATAAAGATAAAACCACTTCAGATTTACCTGGTTTTCTTGTGACTGTTCTTTTTGCTAGTTGTCTCCTTTTCGCTTTTTTCTTTCTCTGCTTTCTCTCTTCTCTCTTTCTTGGACTGAGCAGGAGGCGCAAACTGCTGCGTGGCCTGCTGCGCCGCCAGCTGGGAGACGGGCCGGGGCTTCCTGTGCGCAGGCGAAGAAGAACGTTAAACTGTGACCCGGGAATGTGAACCATCACGCTAGCAGGACACACGTGACAGTGATTTTCAAGGACAAGACACCCAATTTAGAAGATCCTGTACAACAAGAGTAGAACTGTGATAACAGTTAAAATCTATAGACCAAGGCATACGATCAAAACAGAACATAAATCAACACACGCCATCTTCATACAGTGTGCATCAAATGCTCACAGGAAGGCATATATAAACAAGCAAGTTCTACAAATTAAACCCCAGCGTTCACACTAATATAGCATTTTGACTCAGCCTCCTCCTAACGAGGAAATGTCTAACCATTTGTGACAATGGCTATTTGATCTTTCTTTTAAAATCCTGAGTCATTTAATAAATATTTGCTGAGTATGAAAATCCCTCTCTCCTTCCTACTGACATCCTTGACGTCCTCCTCACCAGAGCCTCGCACACCCCAGAGCCCTGAGCACCTGCCTGCTCCCTGGAGAGCACCTGCTCACGCCGCCCTGGAGACCTGGTTCAGTTAGTGGGACTCTTACACAGTAGCAACACAGACAACTCGAGTACCGCCCCACCTCTCCCTGAGGCTTCTCCCCGTGCAAGGGTTCCCCTGGTGGCCAAAGTCAAGGACCCCTCCAGCTTCAGGAAGAAATGAGAAAAGAGGCAAATGAGGGAAGGAGAGTAAGAAAATACACGTTCGGTGTTGGGCTACAAACACCGCCAGCTTTTTTGCTTGGAAAATCCTGAGCAAACAAGAAAAACTGTGTGTTGTGTGTGTTTCTACAGCAACACAAAATAGAAAATAAGGAGAAAATATTGCATAATCTAAGATTCAGCACTTGAAGGCCGGAAATCGCAAACAGTGGGCCAAACGAGCCTCACGAGACAGAGGATGAACTCTTCTCAGAGTCTGTACCATCTGAGACACTGGAGGACAGCCAGGGAGAGATGTCCACATGCAGCTGGAAAATCTAAGACTGAGAAATCAGAGATAAAGTTACACAAATGCAGGTGTCATAGTGCAAACAAGGTAGCCGGGACAGGCGGCTGGCACGGTGCTTACAACGCTGCTTAAGGTGCCCGCATTTCACACCGCAGTGTCTGGGGTCAAGTACCGGCTACATCCTCTGCTTCAGCCTGCCCTGATGTGGACCTTGCAGGCAGCAGGGCAGGGCTCGAGCTGCTGGGTCTCTGCCATCTACATCAAAGACTGGACGGAGTTCCAGGATCCGGCTTTGGTCTGGCTTTTCCAGCTGTGGCGGAATGAGATCTTGATCTCTGCCTTTCAAATAAATTATAATTTTAAACACATACATATACACATAATGGCTGACTGTGTTAAGAAAACGAGCTTTAAAAACACACTGAGGCAGAGCGCCTCAGCTCATCAGGAGGGAGCGCTTAGCTGGCTCAGCCCTGCCCCAGGCTCTGACACGTAGGTGGTGGGCTGCGGCCCAGCAATACGCACTGAAGACACGTGGGGGATGTGGGTGCTACTGCAGTAACATGGAGGGCAGGTATACAGAGTGAAAAAGGAAGACTGGACAGGTATGAAGGAACCGCATAATGAAAGCCACATGTGGATATTATAGAGATCAAGGCCTCAGTCTGGAGCAGCAAGGTCCTCTGGGTGAGAGTTGTGTCAGCAGCACAGCCTGAGAAGGCAGAATCGAGGGCCCCCACTCACTCCCAACCTGCCAAACATCCTTGCCCTCTTGTACAGCTAACACTCCATACAAAAAGCTTTAGTGTGACTGCCCCTCCTGCAAGCTCTATGCTGAAATCTAGTCACTAACGTGATGGAAAGGGGAGCCTGCATGACTGCCAGGGTCCTCACAGGCAGCGTACCTTGCCAGCACCCTGATTCTACCTGTGTCCCTGTGTCCAAACTAGAAAAGCCACCCAGTACACAGCACTGTGATGAATTCGCCCAAACAGAATATGGCAGCAGATCAAACACAAAGCGAAATCAGAGTTTGTGATGTTAGCACATTCTCTGGGGACAGGGAGTGTGAGAATGGGTGCTGCTGTTTCTGGCTTCCTCTTAGCAGCAGCAGTATGAGCCGGCACAGCGCTGACCCATCACCAGACAGCCAACCTGGCACAGCACTGACCCATCACCAGACAGCCAACCTGGCACAGCACTGACCCATCACCAGACAGCCAAGGAGCTTTGCTGTGGAACAAATGGCTAAGGCCCTTCAGGGTTAACGAAGGAGAAGTTTGTTACAAAGGAGCTGCAACTGGCCTCTACGCTCAGGCCAGAGCCAACTACTCACTCCAGGGAACAATGGAAAGAAAACAAAGCACCCCAGAACTTAACTTCTCTCTTCATTGTGTTGGATTAGAGAGGGAGCAAGCAAACTCCAAGCTGTGGCAAGATGACAAAGGTCTGTGCAGGCTGGTGCCTGATGAACGCAAGCAGCCGCTCCGAGACATTAAACCCAGCTAAGTCACTGCCATCTCCTCCCACAACAGTTTGAGTCCACCTTCCATAACTCTCAACTTCGCCAGGGTCACTTACTCCTCTTGGTTCTGTCACTCCTGCCACCTCAAAACTTCAGGCAAAATGAATTTACAAAACTGTTATAAAATTAAATCAAATTATAACAAAGTATTTAACAAAATATATATATATAACAAAATATTTAAACTGCACCTTTTGAACTAGAATAGAAACCCTGATGCTTCTAAGAATTAATAAGTTATCTCATGGCTACAACAACTAACTCCAGTGTATACAATTTACTGCATTTGCTTTTCTCAGTAGAAGCACATTTTTAAAGTAAGAACGAACATCTCTCCAGGCTTCCAAGACCCGCCACGTTCTGGAATGCAGCATGTTGCCTTCCACATGCCCAGGCATGCCCACCCTTCAGCAATGGCCTCCAAGTCAGGACCCGGCCAGGACAAGACGCTGCTCAACGCCACACCCCCTCTTGGATCTAAGAAGGGAAATCCCAAGACCCACCCTTGATTCCTACAACACAGCTGCCACCAAGCTGCTTTTCCATCCCAGTCTCCTCAGCATCACTTTCTCCTTCGTCTTAGTTCATAAATCTGAAAATGGAAGCAGGTTAGCAGTTTGATTTACCATATAAAACTACAAGGGCTCAGGCCCAGCACGGTAGCCTAGTGTCTAAATCCCCAACTTGCATGCACCAAGATCCCATATGGGTGCTTGTTCATGTCCTGGCTGTGCCACCTCCCAACCAGCTCTCTCTCTGTGGCCTGGGAAAGCCATTGAGGATGGTCCAAAGCCCTGGAACCCTGCATCCACGTGGGACACCCAGAAGAGGCTCCTGGCTTCAGACTAGCTCAGCTCCGGCCACCTGGGAAGTGAATCAGAGAATGGAAGATCATCCTCTCTGTCTCTCCTCCTCTCTGTATATCTGCCTTTCCAATCAAAATAAATAAGTCTTTAAAAAAAGACTATGTGGGCTCAAGTTCAACTGAGGATTTATTTTTAAATAAGTTAGGAATCAAGAATTCTTCTAAGTGATCTTCTCTCAGTGGTGAGAATGAAGTTATCTATCACAAATACTCTCCAACAGAAAAGAACTCATTGGACTGGTCAGGGGAAACCGAGCAGGAGACAAGCTGCAAGGCCAGCCCCGGCCGCACGCGGAAGGTTCTAGCATGGAGCTGGTGGAGCGGACTGAGTGCGCACAACCTTCGCCCAGGGCAGAGAGCTTCTGGGATGAAACTCTTGGCTTCCAACCAGCTCAGTTCTAGCCATTGCTGCCATTCAGGAAGTGAACCAGCAGATGAAGATATCACTGTCTCTCCTCTCAATAAATGTGACCTGCCTTTCCAATAAAAATCAAAAATTAAAAAAAAAATCTTAAAATGACAATCGATCCATTAAAGAGCATTTCCTTCCTTCCATGTTCTTATATCAGACTTCATTTACCACTTCATCAAACAAATATTCTTCAAGACAAGCATTTCTGAGGCCAGAGCCTGCAGGTGCCAACATCCCATATGGATGGCAGTTTCACTTCCAGCTGCTTGCTGCACTTCTGATCCAGCTCTCCATTGGTGGCCTGGCAAGGCAGAGGAGGACGGTTCAGAATGGGCCCTCATGCCCATGTGGGAGACCAGAAGGAGGAGGAAGCTCCCAGTCCCTGGCATCAGATGGACTCAGCTACAGTTATTACAGCCACCTGGGTAGTTAACCAGCAGATGGAAGATTCTCTCTCTCTCCCTCTCTCTCCTTCCCTCCCTGTCTCCCTCTCCCCAACTGTCTCTCTCTCCCTCCCTCCCTCTCTCTCCTTCTCTCCCTCTTTCTCCTCCTCTCTGTAAATTGGCCTTTCAGATAAAAGTAACCCATAATAGAAAAGACAAGCTGAAAATGAAGCATCTTGAAATGTAAGCCATTCAAATTAACACTCTTAAAACTATAGTCCTTTTTCTCTGTCACAGAAGTTAACAGTATATACTAAGTAACTAGAATTTCACTGAATCATCTTAAAATTTCAAAATTTTATTTTTATGTTACTGCAAGAGAGAGGAACAGAGACAAAGGGAGAAGGAGATGTCACAGCTGCTAGTTCTTTCCCCAAATCTCCAACACAGCTGGACTGGGCAAGGTCACAGCCAGGAGTTCAGAACTCCATCAGTCTTCCACAGGGATGGCAGGTGCTCAAACACCTCAGCATCACCTGCTGCCTCCTAGGCTCACAGCAGCAAGAGGCAGGACAGGAAGCACAAGGACACAGGGCCCAGGAAGCATTTCACTGAGGATCACAGCATCACAGCATCTGCCCTCCACCCGCATCTAAGGGAAAAACACTGCTTTTATAAAAATAATATAGTGCAACGGGATTTATGAGGCAAAAAAGGCCTGTTCCACAAATGAAAAAACTGATTTAAGTGCACTCAAAAATCTACACAAAAAATTGATACTTCCATGGTATAATTTAATTTCAGTCACTGATGTTTGAAATAGAATAAGAATTTTTTTGAAGATTTATTTATTTTTATTGA